TGGACAGGCGGAGAGGGATGGGGACGGGGACAGATGGACGGGGATGAGGACGGGGACATACGGACAGGGGCACGTGGACAGGGATGGGGACACACGGCCAGGGACACAGAGAGAGGTATGGGGACAGGGACACACGGACAGGGATGGGGACAGGGACACACTGACGGGGATGGGGACACATGGATGGGGATACACAGACAGGGATGAGGACAGGGACATGCAGACAGACAGGGATGGGGACAGGGACACATGGACAGGGATGAGGACAGAGACATGCAGACAGACAGGGATGGGGACAGGAACACACAGGGACAGATGGACAGGGATACAGGGGGATGAAGACACACAGACAGGCATGTGGACATGTGGACATGGACCACACGGGCACAGGTGGGGACACGGACACACATGGAGAGGAACACGGATGCACAGACAGGGATGCACAGCCCAGGGACACATGGACAGGGACAGAGACCCACAGATGGTGACAGGGGGACTGAGGGACACACAGACAGGAGAGATGGACACCGACACTCCAAGCTGGCAGGGCGCAGGCAGTGGCAGGGTGTTGTAAGCCCCCCTGGCAGTTGGGGGTGGCCTGGGCGGCAGGGTCCACTTTTGGGGACAGAGCTGCCAGTGCTGCCACCATGCCAGGCCAGCACAGGACCAGGAAGCCGTGCACGGTGGCACCGCGGGGCCTGTGTCACGAAACTGCAGTGTCCCCTCCCTGGGCACCATGGCAGAGCGGAATCAGGAGCTCCAAACTCCCCCCACGGCCAGGGGCAGAGCTGCTCCTCACAGCAGCACCTGGGCCACAACCCCCCTGTGAGGGGATGTGCTGGGGGTCCTCAGATGGCACTTGGGGAGGAGGGGGGCCATGGGACCCTCAGCCCACTTCCCCAGTGCCAGCTGAGCAGGATTGGGGCCTGAGCAGCTTACGGGTATGGGCTCAAGGGCTGACCGTCCCCAGCGAGGCCTCACCACAGAGGGGCCGGCTCCTGCTCCGAGGGTCCTGCAGCCGAGGCACAGCCCCCCCAAGAGCCCTGCTGCAGGGGAAAATCCAAAAGCCCCGCTGCCGGCACGGGGTACAGGGTGGCTGGAGCTTGAGGTGACCACAGGCCTTGGGAGCCAAAGGTCCCTGCCAAGGTCAGGGTCTGCTGGCGCTGGGGACCGTGGCCGGGGGGCTGCCGGTCCAGCAGAGGGGCTGCCAGGCCAGGCTGCGTGACTCACGCTCACTCCTGAGCAGCAGCAATTAAAATCCGCAGCTTCTATTAATAGCTGCCGGCGGAGGAGCGGGGCCATGGCAGCACCCACGCGGCTGTCAACATGCATCCCATTGAGAAGCGCTGCCGACCCCTGCGGGAGCAGAGGAGGGGGGCGACTATGGCCACCTCTCCCCCAGCCCCCGTGGGGGACAGCAGCCTTCCCCCTTGGGGACAGGGCCCAGTCTGGCAGCCACAGGGATGGGGTGGTGGGTAGCCACAGCCCCTTCCCGATGAAAAGCCACCCTCCCAGGCAGCCCCCCATCCAACCCTGCAGTCCCCCGCAGCGTTATTAGCTGGACCGATACTACTCGTTAGAGGAAATGAATGAGTTTCCTTGATCATTTTCGCTGCAGCTCCTCCTCCGTTTCATTCAGTCCCCAGCTCCCCGCCAAGCCTTACGCAACGGGGAAGCTGCCGGCTGCACACGCAAGGCTGAATCACACCGATGGCGAGCGGGCTGCGGGGTGGGGGGACAACGACTGGATGATCCTGCCCCCAGCTGCCTCATGCTGCCACCCACCCAGTCCCCTTGGTGGGGTTTGCCACCCCGAGGAGGGAGCAGGGGGATCTCAGCCCACCTCAGGGACATGCACGTGCAGCCACCACGTGATCTGGGCACCGAGCAGCCGGCAGAGCGACAGGGGACTTCAAATAAACAAGTGACACAAAGGGGAGAAGGCCAGAGCCTTTATTGGGAGCAGCAGATGGGACTTGTCCTTCTCCACTCCTAAACCAACCCAGGAGCACTGGACTTTGCCACTCACATGTGAATACGCCCCCCCCCAGGCATGGAGGAGCACCCCCAGGGTGGCAGGAAGAGGGGTGACAGCTCACAACACTTCACAACCCCCCATCCCTGCTCCTCTGGCCAGCCCTGAGCCCAAATTCCACCAGCAGAAAGGGTGTAAGATTCCCCCCCCCGCTGTCATGCTGCCCCCACACCCAAGGACCTCGGGGGGGGGGGGGGGGGGTCATCCATCCCTGCTTGCGTTAGGGGAGCCCTGCTCATCTCTTGGGCACTGGTTAAGAAATCTCCCATGAACAGCTTGTCTTGGCTTTAGTACATCAGCCCCTGGAGTGCAGATGGGGCCAGGTGGGAGGAAGGATGAGGAAGATGAGATGCAGGACAGGGCACTAGGATACACCATGACCTCAGGGCCCTGCCTTTACCAAAACCATGCTCACAGTTGCTTAGACAGGGGGGAGGAACGAACAAACAAACAAAAAAAAACTATAAGAAAAGCATTAGCTGTAGAAAGTCAGAGGCAGAAACAGGAACCCCATGGTTGTGCCTGAGAAGGGACACTCGTCGTTGTGCCCCCCAACCCAGCATCACACCTCACATCTCCCCCCTTGGCCCACTGGCCCGGGACAACCACCAGCACAGAGAAACACTCGATGGGAGTGATGCTGCCCTGCATGAGTTGCCTGCGAGAAGTGAAATAACACACAGAGGTTTACCACGTCGAGGCAAATTACATTCTCATCAGGCCCTGCTAATTTGTGTCATCTGAGGCCTAAAATAACCCTCTCTCCCCCCTTCCACTCCAGGTTTTTCAAAGCAAGATTAATTGACTTTGGTATGTTGCAGCAATTAAAATAGCAAGCACCAGGAACTGTCAGATGATCCTCATCAGCCTCCATATGCTGCAGCTGTGCCAACCACTGGCTCCAAGATGCTGCTTCACAGTCTCACCCATCCTTCTTCCCACTTAGATCATGATAACAGGGACTGCGCCACAGCTAAGCCCGCTCTACATCGTTATAATTCCATCAGCACTTCTAAAAGCTTTGCTTTGCCTGCAGAAGCTGCTGCAGAAGCGAAGGCTACATCTAATTAAAATGCATCCCCCCACGAGAGGCCAGCAAGGAGCCCGGCTGCATTACCCTGCCGGGCTGCAGAGCAGGAGCCGCTCTCTTGTGTTACAGCCACAGGAGGATCCTGGCTCCAGCCTCTGATCCGAGCTCCTCACCTAGGAGGGCAAATCCAAAGGATCACGACAGGATCCACAGCAGGCTGAGCTTCCCCAGGGGCTGCGCTCTGGAGAGACAGAAAGATCTGCTCATGTGCAGTCAGATTGCAAATGCCTCTAATCAGCCCTTCCACAACCTCACAAACCACCAGGGAAGAGATTTCTCTCCTTTGAAAACACCAACAAAACACCCTGCAAAGCCTCTGTAGCGCAGTACAGCCACGTGAGTCTGCTGACAGCGAGAGCAGAGGCTCTGGGAGCAGCCCCAAAGACGTGTTTGATGGTGACTGCTAAACCCATTTCACTGCAGACCATTTAAACACAAGCGCTTGCCCTAAAATATTAATGCTGAAAATTGCTGCTGCCCGTTTCTCACAAACTAATGGATCCCGGGCTCCGCGCGTGCTGTGAGAGAGCCTGCAGACAGGGCCATGAGGATTCTCAAACAATACTTTAACACACTGCTGGAGATTTTCTTTAGGGAATGCTCAACATATGGATGAGATGCAGAGAATGAAGCATGGGACAGGGGCATGGCCTAGCCTCATTTCTTCCATTAATCACTCTGAGAAACAAAAGCTCCCAGAGCCACTCGTGGGTTAAAATGGAAGCTCTGCTCAGAGGGAGCAGTGGCACCAGGCACACCGAGCAGCCCCAGAAGGGATGTTATTTTTGGCAGCTATTACAACCAGGTTTTGCTCAAAACTAAGCTAGCAAAAGCAGCTTAGTGCAGCTGTGCAATCCATGATCCCACCTGCTTTTGACTTTATTTCTGTTATTGTTTCTCACCTTCTCAGAGCCTGAGAGCCAAGGAAGCATGCTCTCAGCCATAGCTTCTGCAATGAGTGTGAGGGGAAGGAGGGAGGGGGCTGGCTGTGCAGATTAACAGAAAGCCACATGCTTGATGAGCTCTTTGAATGCAGCCTTAGAACCAGATTCTTAACATTTTGTGTTGACTAATCTCTGCACAAGCTGCCGCACCTGCAGATCCAACAGGCAGGAACAATACCTTGTAACACCTACACTGGGACACTCCTCATTTTTATCTCCCTCTGAGCACAAAGGAAGAAGTTCTCCTTCAGGTCAATATGGAAATAGCGCTGGACTGTGATGTTTCACTTGGCTGTTGAGCTTCAGTGTCCCCCTTGGCTGAAGAGGAGGCTCATCTCTGGTGCCGTTTGCAAGGGAAGGAGGTGAGGTTTGCTTTCCATCGCTCCCGTGCTCACCACTTGAAGAAGACCAGCCCAGCCAGAGCTGTGTAGCCCAGCACCAGAAAGAGAACCTTCAAGAGACGGTCGTTCTTGTCTTCCAACTCCTTTGCAAGGATCTCAAAGAAGGTGATGAACAGGAAAGTGCCCCCTGCAATGCCTTGCAGGAGCAGGGAAGTGATGTTGCTGGCTGCATTTTGTGTGCTTTCAATCCCCATCCCAATGCTAATGCCCAGAGGAATCATCAGGCTCACCGTCACAGCCATCTTCACAGCATCCTTCAGTGGCAACGAGGTCTTGGCCATGCTGATGCCCAATGCCACCGCTACCAGCGTCTCGTGAATTGCAACTCCGAGGAACAAGCTCATGACTTTGCCTCCCTCCTCCTGCAAGCCCAGGGCCAGTCCCTCAAAGATGGAATGCGTACACAAAGCAAACACCAGCCCAATGAGCCGTAAGGGGCTGGAGCGGGAGAGCTCCTGGATATTCAGGCCATGGCTGTGGGAGTGGTGACCATGTTCACTGTACAATGTGCGCCCTCGGGAAGATGCAATGAAGGGACTCTCGTATTCAGAGTCACTCCCGACATCCGAACCGGCATTGAAGGTCTCTAAGTCAATGAAGGAGGGCTTTTCCTTCTGGAAGGTCAAGATGAGCTGCTCCACAAAGACCGTCACAAAGAAGCCAACCATCATGATGGTCTCAGCCACTGGGTAGTCTGTGGTCACGTTCCCCTGCCTGAGAACTTCATCAAGCTGGAATGAAGCAAACAATCCACAGTGAATCAGTCACCTTTGTCCCTCTAAAGGGAAATATTCCTATTGTGCTCACACACAACTCTAAATGGACACTAAAAATTGACCCATGATGCTCTATTACCCTTGTATACAGGCCTCAACATAAGAGACAGGGAACCTATTTCCCTTCCAGTGGAAGGTTTGTGGCTGTCTGCAAGCGTTTGGAACACAGGCTCGATAGTAGGAGTTTAAGCCTCACACTACAGGCAATGCTCAGCCTCCTTCTGCACCAAAAAAAGACTCCAGTGACTCCACCCAGACAGTCAGCAGTAGCCGAATGGGAGGCAGGCACAGCTCACCCTCCTGATCTGAAACACCAGGCACAGCACAGCTGTTTCTGAGGAGGCTTTGTAGGCCACTCTGGCAAGGAGTGGACCTCTAACCCTACACTTCCATTTTCCACAGGGGCAGAGGTCTGGTGGCCTGGGCTTCTGCAGGGCAGGAGAAGGGAGGGTGGTATCCCCCATATAGGGGTCCCTAACATACTCAGTGGCACAGGTTCATTAAAATTGCTCATAAGCAAGAGGCTCGTAAGCAGTTACCTTTTCTCTGACAGCAGGCAGCAAGGCATTGAAGCAGGTGGCCAGGAAGACTCCTCCTCCAAAAGAATTGCAGAGGGCAAGGACCTTCTTGGAGCGATGAGCTTTCTCATAATCAGCCTCAATTATCTTGACGGGGAGGAGGGACCCAGCCAGCATGAGGACACAGATGCCCAGCAGACACAGCACTTTGGTAACCATGATCTTCATTGTGCTTCCTGGTGAACGCTCGCTGCCAAGGGCCCTGTGGATGGCAGCTGGTGGGGGTCCCTCTGGCTGCTGTTAGAGCAGGCACATCAGCAGGCAATGGCACAGAGAGACCTCAAGGGAAAGGTACTCCTGGGCTCAGTACCTGCAGACAGGAGTAAAAAAAAAAAAAAAAAAAAAAAAGAGGTTTTCCTAGATAAGCATATACTGTACAGAACAGCACCTTGCATCTCAAGCTGCGTGCCAGCCTCTATACAGCAATGACCTTAACTCCCCAGAGGCAAAGAGTGGAGATAACAGCAGCAGCACCTCACATACAATGGCAGAGAAAAACTTAACTGCAGCAACTTAAAAACCTTGTAAGAATTGTACTGGCCACGCAGAACTGGCACAGCCTCAGTTTTTAGAGGTTCCATTTGAAACACCTACACCATGACAGACACAAAACACTTGATCTTGCAATAAGATCCACCTGAGTCCAACTAAAGGATCAAGTCTTTGTTTTTTAACCATGAGAAAAGAATATGGACTTGAGCTGGTGGTATTTGTCACCCAGAAATTAACTTAAAGATCTCCCTTCAACATCCATACAGTTTTTTTTGTACTGCCCTTGAAGCAAGACTATCGGATTCATACATGCTCGGTTTCCCGAGCCACTGTCACCGTCTCACTAGGGTGGGGTGCAGCCTCTACAGTTGGTTGCTTGTTCTGAACCAGGAGTCAGGGGAAGTTTCGACTGCCGATCAATATGCACGTCTCTAAAGGGAAACCCTACAGAGAAATTCACTGCAAGGTTCTCTGTTGTCCATAGGGTGTACCAAAAGAGGAGGCAGAGGTTGTTTCATACAAGAGAAAACTGCCAAGATTTGAGTTGCCTAGGTCACAAAAATTGACTTAATCTGAAATGTAAAAGTGTTTCCCTGCAGGTTACATGCAGTGGCAGTGAAACTTGTTTTCCTAAAATCATTTTACAAAATAACAATGCTATTTATAAAAATATATAAACGTGAACAGGTCCCCCTATTGCTGCTCATTCTTGCAGCAGCACAGCCAGCACCCCAGAGGATTTCACTTATCACCTGCACCAAATTGACTTGTAAAGTCAAATCAATGGCACCTCAAGAAGGTTCTCTTGCAAGTCACCCAGGTAAGGGCTGCCAGACAGCCCCCAGCACTGACAAGATGCTGCAGTGTGCAGTGGGGTAACAAACTAACACTGAACACTTCCAGCCACACTGACACCCACACCCGTGATGGACAAGGTAAATAATTGGATACCTGTTTGTTGGAGCGGCAAATTAATTTTAATACGAGAGATTCCTGAGGCTAAAGTCTCCCTTGAGGGCTGACAGCATTAATCACTATCACCATTTCTGCACAGCAGGCGGCATAAATGGTGCTTTTATTAAAAGGAAAGCAGGAGACTGAATGACTCTGTACTTGGTAAGGGAGTTTAAAGCCTTTTTCCAAGTTTGCCATTCAAGCAGGAGTGAACAGAGAGGTCATGGCGGTCAGGCCATCTGCAGCAGGTCTGGTTCTCAGCCGGGTATCCAAGGGAAGTGATGTTCATCAGAAGAAAACCCCGCTCAGATGACACTGATTGACTCACTCCCTGGTGAACCCAGCAGACAAGCCAGGTCTGAACAAGTCCAGAGCCTGAAATCTCAGTGTATGTTGACAGGGCTTCCACAGCAGGCAGCCTGTCACTGCGGCTGACGAGCAGGCTCCCTCTCCAGAGGCATTGACTCCAGGACTGCCAACGCTCATCAGCACTGTGCTGACACAGCTAACGAGTCACACCGCCTTTGTAAAGCACACGCTGCGGTTTCAGCGTCAACAGAACGACAAGGGTTTCACGTCGCACGGTGATGGTGTGTTGTTATGCCAAGCTTCTCAAATGAGCTCTCAGAAAACGACGTTAGCAACAACGCCTTGGGATTACAGATCACGAGAGCTTGTGACTGCACCTGCTGGGTGTGAAGGCACCACCCACACCTACTGTGTTAGGCAGCCAGACAGCTCCCAGGACAGAGGAGAGAAAGAAAAAACTCCTTTTTCCAGAATTCACACCTCCTCTGGAACACGCCTGGCTTCCACTCAGAAATTCAGAAACCCCTGATCTAATTTTTTTTTTCCTTTTCTTTTTTTAACCCAGCAACAGCCCCCAACAAAGCACAGAGCCTCAAGCTCCCGACAGCAGGTGGAGCAGCCGCCCTCCAGTGCCCCCTGACCTGGGGCGGAAAGCAGCTTAGTGAAAAACAAAGCGGTAAAGTACAAGAAATACCTTGTGTTTCTCCTCGCCTGCTCTTTCTGACAGCCCAGCGTTCAGAAGCCAGCGCCACCAACGTCTGGACTATTTCACCAGCCTGAAAACTTCTGTAATAAAGAATTAACTCAGGACAGGTACTGCTTGGCTTAGTGGCCCATAATGAAACATTCAAGCAATGAAAAGTGTTATATAAAGTACACAGCCCTCCGCGGGAGGAAAAAAAAAAGGGGGGGGGGGGGTCCTTGTGTGATCCTTTCAGTATCATTTTTTTCTGCTAAAAACACGTGCTCACGATGCCCCCAACACAGTGAAGACAGCACGATGCTGAAACCAGGCTGAATTCCCCCAGAGCCCCACTTGTCCCAGTACCTCCCAACACCTGAAGCTTTTTGAAATCGTCCTGGTCACCCTGGAGAAGGGGGTGCTAGGGGGTGTGGGGGGGCTCCTCCCAGGCCACCAGAGCAGACAAACCTGCTTGAGCACCCCCAAAACGTGCAGAAATGGTCGGCGGGGGACGACAGGACTAGAAGGGTCACTGGGAGAAGGGGGTCGGCAGCCCGGGGCTTGCTTCAGCCGGGGAGCGGGATGTCCCCTCACAGCAGGGACGGGGCCCAGCCTGAGCCCTCCCCCGCCCCCACAACCCGCCACCGACCCCCCCCCCGCCCCCCATTACCTCCGCAACAGGCCCCCCAGCCCCCCC